AGCAAACGTGTGTTGCAGTTCACTACACTATTTGAAAATAAATTAATAATTTGATGAATTTTCGGCTTTAGTAAGAATGTGCCTTTATTGTAAAACATGAAATCGAGGGGCGAGTTTATAATTTTTAATTTTAATCCAAATGGAACTATGTGATCATGCGCACATTTCCATTTTATTAGGCATTTTATGATAGTTTGTGTTGAGCCTACTATATATAAAGCAATCCATGTGACGGTAAGTCATGAGGTGTCAACTTGGAGTGGTGTAGTTGCAATGACTTCAATAAGAGAATCTACCACCATCAAAGCGATATGAACTTTGAAACTAAAAAACTAGCTTTAAATGAATACGCGCCAGGAGACACATGCCCATTCGGCGTAGGCGAGTGAGGTAGAACACAGAGTAAAAGCTCGTGTTATAACTTTTTAACTAAATTTACTTGTCTTTAGCGAAAATAAGGCGAAAGGTTAAATGAATTGGTACTTGTTGGTGGGAGGGCCCCACAGCGAGTAAAAAATAATTCAGAAGATTAACATCCCGCATTTGGTCATTTCAGTTATTGGAACGTAGCATGCAGGCGTCATTTGCTCCTAATATCCTGGTTGTTCATCAAAGCATTACAAAAGAAACAATGATGCCCCAAGTAAAAGGACTTTTAGCCCACTACATGGACTTATAAATATCCTTGGGGAAAGGTAAATTCCTCTTTTACATCCATACATCTTCTACTGAATCAGAATCAACTACAATTGTAGCACCATTTTTGAGATTACGCGCTTTCTTTCATTTTATGTCTCCTAAGATGGGGTGTGCAATAGACTTACCTCCACGTGGTGCACCCTGGGCAACGTATACTCATACGGCAAAAAAGTCTATAAACCGGCAGTTGACTTCTAACTTCAAAGTACCATCACCCCACTGTGTGTCATATTCGACTACTTCTACAGTACTCACCTCACCTTTTTTCTACCTTTTCTACCATCGTCTTTGAAACACTCTTTTGTTCCCTCCCCCCCCCCCCTCTCGACTTTTTTGTCACTTTGATGTTCCCCTCTGTGAATCCTGACATTTGATATAGATAAATAAATGTCTCCTAAGATACGTATGTGATGCTGAACTTCATGCATTTTTGAGAAAGCTTTGATCAATGTGTATCTTGGGAATAAAAGATTCACAATAAGGCTTACTTATTAGAAATTCGATTTCTGGGATTTTCATTATTAGCCAGACTTAATCCAAGTGAAATCGAACATGTGATTTTAAACTCACTGAAGGGCAAATAAATATCCGCGCCATATGTGTGCGATAAAAATTACCCTGAATAAGTCAATTGCACAGTGGGACTGATTGCTCAAACAAACCATACAACCTCGTAAAGTTCATTTCATTTCAATAACTATCTTGTACTTATCACAAAAGCATTGTCACTTTTTTAAAAGTCAATATATATGTAAATAAGTCTTTGACCTTCTTGAGTGGAGGATTATTTCGAAAAGTTCTGAAAGAGGTAGTTAATAATATTAATAAAAATAATAAAGAGCTATAAATGGGAATTAACAATGCGGTCAAGATTCCTGGTCCCTTTAGCTTGAAACTTTACTTAAGTGTTCACAGAAATGTAAGCAATGGTTTAGAAATGCTGTGGGGAGGCATCAGAGTTTCACATATCTTGCAGGCCAACCGATTACAAGTGCGTAATTTAAGGAGACTAACAACAGAACATGCTATATACTAGAATGCAATCTAGGATCCTAACATTAACTTCTTTGTTAGTTCACACAATACTTCTGTTATCTCTATAGTTTCGCCGAAACTTGGCTGGGCCTGGGAGCCTTCCTAAAATTGGAGAACATGCCATAGAAATTACTGAGCATACGTCAAGCCTTATTCATGTAGTAATCTACTACAAGCGCCTGATTGGCATCCTCAACCGGAATAATTAAAGTTCTGACCATTAAGAAAGGTAATTTTAATGACAGATATAATTATTATTATCGACGATAATTAAGTCTAATACCGGTGACAAAGGGTTGAAGTCGAACTGCTAGCATTGACTCTGCAGGCGTAGTTAATGACTTAATACAAAGTTAATTACGTGTTCCTCAAATCACCTAAAACGAATAGTTTCATGAAATGGAATTTTCCGTTTAATCTCCCTGAGTGGGTTTTCGGAAAACCCCGGTACTATTTTTTTACAATTTTAAGGTCTATTGGAATGTTAAAATAGCTTGCAACAGAAGTAACGTACCCAATAAGCGTAATGGGGTAGGCCCGCAAGTAAGAGACGTTGCATAATGTGAGGCAACAAGTAACTCGCTTACTGTTCTCTTTCAAAATAAGCACCCTTAGTACTAAACCATTTGAAACATGTCTAATACGTCTGTAGCCTCCGCCTGATACCAAAAAACCTATCACTTCGTTGATATCAGCCTGCTGTGAGACCTGCGTGAGTGCAATTGGGTGCATTTTTCAAATGATAATTCGTGCGTTAAAGGGTTCAGCTGCTATCTTTAAAATGCATGATGTTTAAACATCCAACCCCCCCCCCCCCACCCACCCACTTGGAGCGAAATTTTCGGCTCCATCGTTTAACTTCATAGTGACAATTGATTTTATGAGTCATGGTTGAGTATATATCCTCCATTGTTTTAACTGTGTTCTACTTTCAGCTTAAAATGTGGTCATTATATTTAACTGATTTTATTTATGTTAATGAGTTTGTTTTTCTTCCTTTTTTTCTAACCTGCATGCATTGCTTTGAGATATATGAAAAAAATAGGTGATCACCAAAACTTTCAATTCTCGTAGAAAGCGGTTTTTTATTCGGTTTTAAGAAGTTATGTATTTATCTTTCGGCTTTACATCACTGTGGACCGGGGTAAACTGGTAAACTGTTTCAAATTAGCAGCTTTGATATTACTTAGCCCTTTCCATAGATATGCCCAACAAAGGATGCTTTAGAAAGTAAATTTAGCTGTAAAACGAGTTTCTTCTCAACACTTTACGCGGCAAAAGGTTTTGACTTCGGAATTATTTAAGAATTCTAATATTATTAAGCTGTAAGCGTTAAATTCTAGGATGCTCAACCCTTTAACACCTTGCAGGACCGTACTGTTCTCTTTCAAAATAAGCACCCTTGAATGGAATGGGCTTATTTTGTCACTTCAAACCATTAAATACAATGAATGGTTTGTTAAACCAAACAGGGACTATTGATTGGCAGCTAGATGAGAGGTCTCTGTGTTCACGACTACGCTTACTGCCTACGGTACAAGTTGCACGGCATCATCTTCGAGTCTGTCTGAGTGTGCTTGAGATTTTCTTCAACCATGGAAGTTTTATGCATTCCACCAGCTTAATACAGTATTGCTACTAAGAAGGAAGTAACATTTTCCACAAATAAACAATTACATGTAAGCTTCTTCAATATTCATCATGCAGTTAATTTTATTCGGATACATTTCTCCATATTAAGGTTGTAAAAGGCGACTAATACAAATGAACCAGACAATACGAAAACATGTCTCATTTTTGGCATAATGGCCTGGGTCATATTTATTCGTAATTAGTCAAAGTTCTTAGGAAGTTTTTGTTGAATTACGGTTTATAACAAAGAAGGACACATTTTATCAAGTTGAATCAGCAATAATGTGCTTAAAATTCAGGAAGCATAACATTTTTTACATATGTCAGCATATTCATGATCATTATGCATTGATATTTGCCGCAGCAAGGATCAGTATCTTGAGAAGTTGAGATACTAGAACTTATGGCAGTCTGCTATTTCGGAGAAATGTTGTACTAGGTATAATTGTGTTCAAAGTTAGTTATTTGTTAATTCCGATATGTATGTATCTTATCCGTTTGCTCGGTTATAATTTATAACATAAACACTATTGCATTCTTTGTCTCCTCTGAAACTGTTCACAAGCAGCCATTGTGCTTTGATTTCACGTAATTATTACAGAAAAGTGAATTCAAAGAACCAATAATTCGTAATGAAGGAGCAGGTAATGTATCCTATAGATACCTTTTATTTCTTAAAGGATTTATTTAACTCACCGAAAATTAGTAAATTTATAAAATGATTTAAAAATATAATACTAATGGGACGTTTATGCAAGACAAAACGAATACTTTGTTTTAGTAGGCTACTAACAATTTTCACAAGACATCAATGAAGTATACAATGCAAACAAAACTGATTGAAGGCGTTTCGCGGGGGCTACAAACCCTGAAAAAAGTAATTTTGCCACCAGAGGCACAGTGAACAAATGCGAACAGGTTTTCTCATCTAAACAGAGATGAAAAATCGTTTTATGTTGGATGTATTAAATTTTTTATTATGCTTTGTAGTTTGTCATAAGTTTTAGAAACGTTCATCACCCCGCACCGTTTGTGTTATCGCTACCATAAACGTAACCGAGCTAGTTAGTTATTTTTGGACCGCAGGGACCTGCTAATTTTTGGCCAAAGGCCTAAATGTGTACCAATATTTTCACGCCCAAGTTAGTAAAATAGGAGGGCACAAAGCAATGTGGCAAATTCATAAGTTATAAAAGATGGCGAATGAAGGTTATTTCCGAATTTTTAAATTACAAAAGAACTTAAACATGAACATGTTACGCTAACTTAATTATGCTCTATTGATAATAATTGGGGTACTACATAATGACCAATTTTGAAATTTATTTTTTCAAAAAATAAAAAATTCAGCTAATCCAAGTTTAATTACATCAGATAAAATTATACGCTCTGAATTTAATTGTTCATTAAATATTATGGGTTTAATAATAATAAATGAATCTATTGCAAATTTAATTGCAAAGTTTTATTTAAAATCATTATTTTAGCTGGCAAAAATAATCAAAACCGCAATTTAACTGGAGAACATTAATAATCAAGCGAAATCAGCTCATATAAATTTTTTTGAGGTGATAACTTTATATGTCCGTTCAGCCTATGTCCCCCATTTGGTGCTTATACAACCCGACATCGCAATGTCGTTCCGTTGTAATAGCTCTGAAACTGGCTCTCATTACTCATGTACGCTTCACTTTTGCTGATTATTTCATTGCCTTTTATTGTAATAATTTTCTAAGTCTATCATGGACATTTTATTCGGCTAGAATTTTTTTCGTTTTATTTATTTTTTAAACGATGTTTTGAAATTATGTTACGTCTTAGATTCAGTTCCATCTCTGGAGGATATTAGCGTCCGTTGGATAGTTAAAAATTTTTATAGTGTCGTTACAAAGTGTTCAGATTGCACCGAACCAAAATATGTTTGGCGATTTCCATATCCCGATTGTCGGATTGTGGCTCGACCAGCGGAGAAAATTCTTCTCAAATTATGCAAGCGCCAAGTGTTTAAAGAGGAATTTTTGAATCTATTTTCAATGAAATATGTCGATTTGGTCTCTCCTGTTTTACGCGATGTTGTCGTCAGTCCTCAATACCTCAGAATTCTGCGCGATTTCAAGTTGTATAATCTTACAGCTACTAGTCTTAAAGAAACTAATCTCAACAGTCTTATCAGCTGCTTGGGTGAAAATACCACGGAAAATCTCGTTTCCCTCAATTTGACTAATATGGCCATTGAAGAGAATAAACTCCCAGTTATTATATCTCTTGGTCGATTGAAAAATCTTCAAGTTCTCAACGTTAGTCGCACAAAATTCACTTCAGAATGTCTGCAGAACTTGGTGAAACTTCTTCCGAGGCTGAGATTTCTTAATATCTCTCGAACGAATATCAACAACATCAGTGCACTTTTGGAGTTAAAGTCAACACTTACGGGTTTAATAATGCACAAACTTAATCTCGATAGCCCCCAATTGCTAAGTCGCGCCTTATCCACCATTTTAGAGTTGAGTGAACTCCGAGTTTTGGATGTTTCTTCTGCTGGTGATAAGGATAGACCTCGTTGTTCTTATGTTGATCGACTTTGTCAACGTGAATGTCTACCACATCTGACACATTTTGATATTTGTGGAAATCAGTTCAGTCTTAGGCTCACTGATGTCAAGTAAGTATTATTTGTCATTATTATTCCTAATTTTTTTGGTCTTCACAAATGACCAGACACTGGTTTATACTTGATATAATCGTTATATTTTGTGTAAATGAAGTCCACCTCTGTATTTGTCTGTCAGATTTTCGTTTAAATAGTAACTATTGGTAAGTAAGTTCTATTAAGAAGCTGCTTTTTTAGGGGCTTCATTGTAATCCTTTTATTGTAAGCATACCTTAGTGTAGTTAAAGTAACTTTTGTTCAGTTCATTTCGGAGTTCTTAATGATTGGAGGATATACTTTTGTGTATGGGTAGTTATTTCACGTGATAGTTTTAAAAGCTGTTTCCTTCAAGTCTTGCAGTTTAAAAGTTGGCAAATTCTGTTAAAAGTTCGCTTATTTAATTTTCTCATTCTTAAACTCATTTAATGCATTTTTCAAATTTTCGAAGTCAACATTTCTTTGATATATTCAATTTTTTAATTTGCTTGGAAGCATAGAAAATAATTTTCTCAAAATAGCTAACTTTGCTCAAGTGCTAGTTTATTTAATCCACCAAGATTTTGAATTGATTGTGATCATAGAAATGATTATTTTTAGTTTTAATTTCACTTACTAGAAATGTGGTGAAATTATCCTGAATATGCCTAGTTTGGTTAAATGCGTTTTATTTTGGCCCGCCTCTCTTCATGCCCTAATTTTTAAAGACGTTCATATTGTTTTCTGTTTTTTAACCAATTAATACATTTATCCCATATTTGGATTGGGGATTTTCGATATGTGCCATTTACTATTATTAAGTAAACTTTTTTTCCATCAACTGACAGAGGAGAATGCTGCCTTGGGTCTTTCCTAATAATTTTTGTTTTTCCTTTCAAAGGAACTTCATTAAAAATCATCCAAACCTGGAGTTTGTTGGTCTTGCTGTATGGCCATCTCGTCAATACCACGAGTTGCAAGGCATCTACCAGCTCTCACTGGATTATCCTCACATCGCGGTAATTCTGTCCACGCTTCGATTATTCTCATTCTATTATTTTGCCTCTGCGTCATAAGTTTCTTTGAGTCGTTTAGGAATATAATTGCTTTAATTAGTAGCTAAATTCATAGCTTTCTGGAGGGCAAAATCACAATCCTTCTCGCTATTACAATTCTCCTTTTTCCTCATGTTATGTTTATCCTAATTCGATTATTGCTATTACTTATATTATTATCGACGTAATCTCTCAATCTATCGTTTCCACTGATCGATTGATTGATGCATGCAATTATTTTTCTTAATGCTATGGTCATGTATGTGTGTCTAGCGGCTCATCGTCAAAGTTGTCGGTAAACCAATACTTGATAGGTTTTGAGGCCCCCCCCCCTCAACAAAATGACTCCTTTTTCTCAACTATTCTTTTCTTGGTCCATGATTTGATCTTTGAGTGACTGCTTACTTAGATCATACTTCACACAATAGTCCTTCATGGGCTCTCAATCACTTTTATAACCATCGCCATTGTGTCTCAGGTATGATAAGTAATATGCTAATATTATGCAGAACATTTAAAACTTCAACTTTCGACCCATGCGCTGAGCTTCTCAAATAAATAACCCAAGTGGCTCTCTGGGCTAGTGTATATGCCAGGACTTTCTGTCGCTACCTTAATAACGTTTGTGTTATTGCTCAAAAGGGCCCCGTGAACTTTGTGTTACTGTTGCACATCAAAAATTGTATTTCTATTTATTAATCATGTTGATGAAAATTATTTCGCACACGTCCTACTCTTTGAACAAGTAGATGCAGAGCCTAGATCCTCTCCTCTCTGATTGAAATAATATTTAGTGTTACTTGTTATCGATTAATTTCGCATTGCATCTGAAACAGTCCGTTTTAAACACCTTAAAAAACCTAAATCCTTGTTTGCTCTTTATATCTGGGTTAAATACCATTTTTAATGTTCATATTCTAATTTAATGCCTATTTGCTACTACTGCCTAAAAGTCCTTTAATTGTGGAGTTTTGCTCTTGTTTCCTTCAAGAGCATTTAAGTAAAATGGTTTGTGACTTTCATTCACCCCTCATCACTAACCAGCATGCTATTAATATACATAAACGCACCTTTACTATCTAGATGACGGGTGACAGAGGAGAAAAGTTGCTTTTGGCAACACTAACTCGAAATAAAGATCGTCGGATTTATCTCCAAAGCGCCTTTCACAATATTTTTGAAGAGACAGCCTCTCGCGATTGGCTCAATCCGGATCTTCTAGCGGTGAGTCACCATTGTGAACAATGGAAAAGTTTTTTAACCATTCTTTTTTGATCATCTTTACCTTTGAATAGTTATAAATGCTTTGTAAAAGATTCTTGTTGTGTGATTGTTTATCTGAATTTACGTTTTGTTTGATATGCCTATCTGGAAATAACAAACATCCTATTGTATTTTCATTATTTTGCCATCTATTTATTACTAACGGACATGAATTCGAATCCAATCATATGACTTGGGCTAGTTCTAATATGGAAATACAAATTCCCTCGCTAGACTGGTGTGCACTTTTAAATAGATTATTTGTGGTAGTCTACTTTGTACTTCTCTATATACGGTCAGTTGTGTGCCAATTTTCGTTAAACTAAGCTTGGATTTTACATAATTATTACTGTGAAATATTGATATTTTTATTAGACCTATTGTTATATGTGGTACCAAAGTTGTAGCTTCGGGAGATTAGAAAAAATGAAACAAAGTTGATTGCTGAATATGAAATTTGCTTTACGTGCTTATGGAGGGGTAGTGAGATTTTGATCTAGTTTTCTACCTTGCTGTAGGAATTGCTGTCCAAATGAACGTATATTGATGACCATGTCACAGGTATGCGATTGGCGTATTTTTATAAAGGCCTGGAAGATAAAAAGATGGTCGGAGAAGCACAAACAAGTGTAGAGGTCAGAGGAAGTGACCAACTTGCCTACGGCCACTATGGTTTGGGACCTGATGATGAGTATATCTTCAGTTTGATCCACTTTTCTTCCATATCTTTTTTAACAATATGGGTTCCCTACGCCGTTATTATAGCATACTTCTGATTATTCAGTGGTAGCATGCTTTGTTGAGGTCAGACGGAATCTCACCTACACCTACGCTTCTATACTTATTTCTGCTCTTTAGTTTCTTACACGGTATGACACGTCGCATGACAATCCGATGCGTTCAATCACTTCAATTAATTAATTAATTAATTAACATAAAATGGAAGACGAAATGTGGTGAATGAGAATTAACGCGCAAGTTAGGTCAAATCTTTGGGTTTGGGGTCCACTTTGAATTGGGTTGATCAGCGGGACTAATCCGAAGTGGTTAACTAACCTTTTTCCTTAACCTTGATCAGAGTTGGTTTTATGCTTGCTTATCTTTAGTTTTTCCGTGTCATTCTATTGGCCTCTTCTATTATCGGTTTCACAGCTGGAGACATTCCAATTTTTCTTGGTCTTACGATTATTAGTTTATCGGCTGCTTCTGGTATATACCGGAGATTTCAAATGGGGCAATAAAGGTCAAGCAACCCACATTTAATTTACCTTAACCTAAAAAGTGCCTGATATTTTTACGAGGGCCATGGAAAAATTTGCTTCGCATAATCCACTCTACGCGTTTTTGTTGTGCAATGCCTTGAAAGGTAAGAACGATGATGGGGAAATGCGCAAACACGCAATGAATGCCATTTCGCCGATTACTTTAAACAATATGCAGTTTGTCCCACCATGTATTCGTTGTTTTGCATGCTCGCTTTCCGATTTCATTATTCATGGTCTCCTGATAATAAATCAGGTCAGATAAATCAGTTCAAGGGCAAAATACTCAATTTATATGTATATCTCCTTTTAAGGGAGTGGATATTCTCCTTCTATAAGGTGTTTTGTGTGTGTATTCATTTATTGGTCAATGCTATTAGTTAAATTCTATGAAAATAGAGGATAATATGAAAATATAAAGTTTGACAAATGAGGTTGAAATTTTATCTATCATCAGTGGAGATTAATCCACCTGTCCTTTGCTTGGTTTGGGTTACCCGTTAAACTTTTGTTTTAAAATTTAATTGGCATAAGATTAAGTTGAAATTCATTTGGAATAGATAGACGATGAAATAAGTTGTTGATTAAAGCTTCATTTAGTTATTACCATAATTGTCACTGGGGTGGGCTATTCTAATAAATGTTTTTTTCGGATGATTTATTTCGTTGATGAGGTTGTGATCAAACAGACAACCCATCTGACTGAATGATGTAAAGAGAATATTTTTTGTTATTTCAGGCTGTGCTGAGGGTAATGAGATTGCATATGAACAGACAAGAAATGATCCTCGCAGGTACGGCCGTCGTGTACAATTTGACGCGAGGTGAGCAATCTGCTCAACTCCCCTTGGATTTACTAAATCGAGCAGTCAGCACCACACTCACCTCTATTGAACACCATCAAGAACAAGTGCAACTCCTCAAGAACTGTTTTCTTACTCTATGCAGTGACAATGTACTTCACAGAGCCGTGAGTCTCTCTAACTGTTCTACCACATCTCCTCTAAACGCTTAGTCCAACTTACCCTCTTCCTCATTTTCGCTGTAGAAATTCAGCTGCAAACGCTGTTGTGAATTGGTCTTCAAAATTCTCATTAGATTCAATGATATCCACATCAAGCGCATGGGAGTGGCCATTATATCCATCTTAGCGGCTGAGGTAAGCTTAAGTGTGTTCCCCCTATCTTGATTAAGATCTCTGTTTACGCTTGTCTGCAAACTGTAGAAAGAGTGAATGAGGTTGGTTTATTACCCCTATGTAAAATGGAAACACCTCGAATACCACTGTTTGACATCTGTTTATGCTATCCTGTGACAATTTGCTAGATTCTAATTTGAAAATCACTGCTTGACGATTAGTGGTGTTTGGTAGTGCCTAATGGTCACTTCACACAGCTACAACTACTCGTCCACCACAAAGACGGTGGGAGGTGACCTGTAACTCAACATATAATTTCATTAAGTAAATACATTTACTTATTCGTGTTAGATCAAATAGTGCTAGTGTATAATTCTAATAAGGCTCCTTTAACGAACGGTTCCAAAATAGGACCCAGAAAGGAGGAAAAGTGGTTAACCTTGATTTTAGCTCCTATTTATACAAACTCCTCAAGCAATTTCACGCCCTTGATATCTGAGAAACTGTTATTTGACGAACTGAAGAATTTCATTCTTAATCAGATATCCTTCCTGTTACAACCTAATAAAGTGTTGGTAGTTACACTTCTATCGTAGACTATGGCGACTATGCCAAAGTGTCGAACACCAAGGTTATTTCTACTGTATTTGGAAGCATTGGGTTGGGATATTGGAGGTAGGTCTGCAGGTTAGGAGGTAAAAATTCAATTCACAGCTATTCGCGAGCGAATTGGATTAGCAGATTGATCACCCATTCATCGATGATCTTACCGTGGAAGTTACACTCCTTTGAGAATAATGTTATCATCTTTACGGCGAAAGCTTTATTCCAATTCACTTTTAACTTTGTGAATTACAGCGTGCTTCATCCTGAATCACCTAAATAATATTAGGGTTAATCATTATTCCCATAAAAATTGGAGGAAAAATCACAATTCACTATTAGTTTCACCAGGGAAAATATGTAATACTTATTCATGATTGGACTTTCATTTTGTCAGTCCTCTGGAAACATCTATGGTTGAGGATTGTCCTTACTTCTTATTGATGCAATTCCAACCATTCGTCCTCATCATTCGCTATCTGACATTTTCAAGCAATGTATAAATTTAGCATACCCAAGGACTTGCCTAGGTGGTGTGCTCTATGCGAGGATTCAATTGCAGAAAGCAAAATAAATTAGCCCACCTTGAGTGAATGCAGCTTGCACAGCTGCGAAATTTCTTATCTGATTATATTGCAACTGTAAACCGGGGATATCATGTGTGTGTAAGAAATGACTTGGTTAGTGGCAAGACTGACACTTCCTGATTAAGAATACCTGTCAATAAGTGATAACCACCGAAAACGCGTTGGATGTGATCCAAGGAACGAAGTGTAGACTTATTGTGTTTTCAAAGCTGAAATAACGATTTGTCTTCATATGAAGCTAAAAAGCATGTTATTTCATGGCGCCTAGAGACAGCTCCCAAAATTCTGCCATGAGGGAATTATCAGGTGGAAATACATATATTGCAAAAGTGCAAAGACAACAATGGAGCATATATAGAAGAACGAATGTAATCACTTGTTAAATAAATAAGGTATGGAATTTTCTGAGAAATTTTTGACTCACCCTCGTAATATTATGAAAACTCATTGATGCGACAAGGGAAAATGTGATAGCAAATAACTGTAATTGGCAACAAAGATGGTATTCTATTGAATACGATACTGCTGTGGTTATTGAAGATTACGAATCTTTGTAAGCAGATTGTGTTGCCTGCTACTTCCCCTCAGGACCGCCTAATCACTATTCTAATTTACCCATAGAGTAAAAATTAAAAGCTGTGTTCGTTATGATCGATTAAGCGAGTACAGTCGTAGGACTCTGTGGGGTGGATTAATTTAGATGAGAATATCAACAACCAACCAAGGACGGCTATGATATGATCCTCGATCAGGCCAGGCATTGAATCATTCATTTCCAAAAAAATTAGAAAAGCCTAAAAGGAAAACCTAGTGATATAAATATCTTTAAGTCATTTCGTACTTTCCTTCTGTTTGCTTCTCAGATTCTCACCTCGGACTTGAAGGAAATATCTTCAGATTCCCGTCGCCTCCAGCGTCTCTTGATTTACGTCGTGGAGAAGTGTCTCCTACAAGGTGATGTGGAAGCCCTGATGTCTGAGAATGATAATAGAATGCTCTCCTACCTCCACCAAGCTGATGTGTCCCTGCAAGGTTCTCCAATATACGATACAACACTTCGGTTTACCCTTTCAGCATTATGGAATCTTACTGATGAGTGCCCTGAGGCCTGTCAGACTTTTGTCAATGTCGGCGGTCTGGTGATCTACGCCAAAGTTCTTAAGGTTAGCACCACCACATACTGAAATCAGATTTCAGTAATATCTGAAGTCGATACACTAATAATAAATCATTTATTTAGTAAAGTTCTATTGTGTAGCTTTTCAACCACCCACGAATTTTAGCAGATTTAGCACATCAAGCATATTGAAAGTCCTTGTTGCTTTTTCAACCTGAGATACTGTAATTCCTCGTTAATACAAGGGCATTGCCCTCCTTTCCTCGAAGGTTAACACGCAATTGGTGGTTTCAAGACTGAAACTGACATTTCTTGCTATTTTAGCCACGATAAATTAGTAAAACAAATTAACTGCCTTAGACTCACATCTTTTTTACAAACTTTCTTATTGTCATTTTTGCATGACTACTTAAACTTAATTTTAGCATAAGAGAGTTAGTTAGACTTTTCATAGTGGATGTGTAAAATGCATAATTTTGCTCACATACTTTTACAGAAAATGGCCTCGGAAGAAGAGGACTTTAAAAATCATGTCTATACAAAGTGTCTTGGTCTTTTGGTAAGTTGTGCCGACTTTACTTCCCCTAAAATGTCCACTTATCACCATCGTGATTTATGTTCCTTCTAGAATAATGTGGCTGAAGTACCTTCGACCAAGCAAACTCTGTTGATGGAGCCATTGATGGCCTTCTTCAAGTGAGTAATTTCTTTCATTTAAACCATCCCGTGGGTTGGAAAATCGTGTTTATTAAATATCGTATTTATTGTTTGTGCGAGTTTTCTCTCCTTGAACAATACTAAATCTCATGGGTTAGGCGTTCCTAGTTTTATAAGTAGACAGTTTGGGGGAAGTTGATGTAACCATTACCTTGTTACTTGGGATGCTTATATAGTCAATTTCAACAGCTTGTCTGATTTCAAAAGCAGCTGTTTTCAAACAACTATTCTGGCCTGTATTCTTTAAAATTGAGTGATTTAAAAGGGCAAACCCTACTTGCAGGGAATATTGCAACATGAATTGAATTTGTTCCGCAAGTGAGCTTATAAGTATAATATCGCAAGAAATGTTCTGGTTGAAAAAATCATGTAAGTATTTCGTCATTTACCTAAAAGTGCTTTGGGGTATGGGGGTGGGGGGGGGGGGGGGGGGGGGGGGGGGGGGAATTCAGGTAGCACTTTTTATTTGCACCCTCTTGTACATTCCTTCGAAGTTGAATTACTGCTGTCACGACTATCTATTAATTACAGCAACTTGTAAATGATGTATGGAACATCTATATTTAACATGGCATATGTCAAGTCGACGATACACCCTCAGTGTCTATCAAAATTCTAATCTTTGCTTGTGCATCAAAATCTTACTAAACGGAACCTGGTACTGAGCCTTCTGCAAATCAAACTTATTTCAGTACAACTTATACTGAGGTTATTTATAAGCCTTTTTAACGGTACTTTTGCATCAGGATATGAGATAGCGGTGGCTTAGTTTTCAGACTCCTTTAATTTAATCTTCTGCAAGAAGTCTAGTTCTCTTTTTATTTATTCCTTCTTTAGTAAAACATCGAGTCATTGTTAAATCTAGCCTATTTTGTTTCTATCTCCTAACTACTCCGATAGGATTCGGGTTCCCTATTTACATTAAGGTTTTTCTCCATATTCGTGTTGTCAACTGAACTATATATAATACTCCTGCATCTGAGTCGTTAACATAGAAGCTTATTTTTGATTGTTTATTGATTGATATTGGATGGAAACGCTTCCATATGACTAGAAATATAACTTAATTGTGAAAACTTCAATAGGACAGACAATTCTATTTCGTCCAGCATTCACGTTTTTGGCTAATAGAATGTCAAGGCCGTGTTTAGCCTAATTGATCGGAAAGGATAGTCTAAAGCTTTGGTCAGGTAGATGTGAAGCGTTCGCGTTTACATTTTTCAAAGAGGTCGGTGATTTAATATGATTCCCTCGTTAAAATTGTGTTTGATGTTTTTTGGCCATTGGAATACTTGAAGCGTTAATTCTGGTTGGAAATTTCTTTTTCAAATAGTATAAAGACATTTGGACTAGTTTTCAGGTTTCGCTAACAGAAGTCCGCATTAAAATGTATTCAATCGTCAAATTTTACAATACAGCTCCAATTTCCTTCGTATTCGAAGAAAATTCGCTCCCCATCCTAAAAATTCTTGATACTGAAGAAATTGTTCATTATATAATATCCTATAGACTTTTCTTTTGTGTTCGTTTGAATAAGCCTGTGAATAGTTTGCTCTCTTGTTGGAATCATTGATTTGAGCAGGTTTCGCAGCGAGTCCCTTTTAGATTAACAACAGCACTCGCAGTTGTTTCCACGGTGTCTTCTGGAAAACTGTCGATTACTTGCATTCAGTTAATTTGCTATTTTCGTGCTTCTTAGGTAATATTTGCACCGTCATTAATGCAGTTTCTTAGATGAATATTTTTTACTCAGAAAGTGGCAATACTTTGAGGGGCTGCTCATAGACTCACATTTGCACTCCTTTATATGCATTTTTATTTCTTTGCTAGCAAAATGTTGAGCCACTCAAGTATCCAGATCAGCTATTTTGCTGCCGGTATCGTCTCCCATCTTGCTTGCCTCCCGGATGATGTCTGGATCTCCGCCAAGCAGTACAAAGCCGACTTCATTCGTGTTCTTGTAAGATTTATTCAACTTCGTTTATTTACCCTTATACTCCACGAGAAAACAGATAAAAATTAAACATTTTCAATGCTAAGGAACAACTGGAATCGACTAAACATAACTCTATTATACAATATAGGAGAGGAAATCGAAAAAGAAGTTTGGTTTTTTTATTTCTTTGGAATTTTTTGATCTCTATGCAATATTTATTTATTGAGTGGTTCATATTCTTCATTATTGCACAGATACATGCCCACCATATACGATAGTGTTTATTGTTTGGTAGTTTAATTGAGATGCCCAGTATTTCATGTTCAGCTCATTTTCTCTTCTCAAGACTGATATAAGAGATTCATCTAATATGATATTAGGCATCTTACATAGTGAAATATATCGTTTATTATCCTCGTTTCCCTCACATTCGGCTCTTGACTATAATAAGTACAGATATATTGATCTGACATGACCATCCGTCGGATTATATCAACTGGTCAATAAGTTCCTTATATTGTGGAAGCCGAATGATGACATCTGAAGGTGTTAGCCCTTCTTATAACAATTCTTTTATAACTCACACAAAGTAGAGGGCGCATAATGACCCCAAATTCATTGCCTCACCTCCCCTCCCTAATTCGTATCCCTTGCCTTTTTGTATTTCCCTGTTTAATATTGATCTACACACAGCCCAAAATGTACTCTAGAGTATATTTTCCCTCAATCGGTCGCGATCTAAATTGACCGCTTTACAGTAGTGTTTTATAAATCTTGTCAAGGTATTGTGAAGCACCAGAGTAGTTACACCCACATGTTTGTGCAATAAAAGCTTTGATTTATTTAAAGACCTTTTAATCGCCTACACGCATAAATTTTTCTTTCCGGTTTATAAGTCGTCATGTGTCATTTTTCAATTCAAAAGCATCTGAGGTTTCTTTTGAATCCAAATCTATGCGCATTGATTAGATAGTGGTAAAAAAAGTCGGGTCATGGTCTCAATCTAGTAACACTTATCCAGTGAATAGTAGAAATAACCCAACTGGGAAAAAATGCTCCTCAAAAAGTATTTTTAGGGTTACTTCCCGTTTAAGCATAGCGATAAAATGCTTTTTGATTGAAGGGTTCGGCATAATAGTAGCAGCAAATTGAGTAGTATGGCTTAATTTGGAAGGTTAAATCTTTATCACTCGACTGCCAGATTTTAACTTTTTGACCGGTTGTTACTCGTGTGATTGGATATGTTGCCTCGATTTGTTTATGTTCCATTACTTTCAAGAACAAAGTGGTAGAGAGACAAACAGTCGTTAGTTTAACAAAACTCAGTTCACTACAGCCCACTCAAGGTGAAGTTTAATCTTAAATGATTTTTTTCATTTATTTAAGCTTTGCTTAAGGCACATGTTTAGCACATTGAAATGGAAAGCAAATGATACTTCAAAGGGAGAACATTTCATCTTATGAAGATTGATTTAACAAGCCCCCTCCCCCACCTCCCCAGTAACTTCGACTCATTAGTTTATGATGGTAGCTAATATTTGACTATGCTCTAATGGCCATCTTCATTGACCCTCATTGTTAATTGGCTTCTTTTTTAGGGTGAAGCTGTTTGCAAATGGACCCCTCCACAGAATGAAATGGTTGCCTACCGCTCTTTCCAACCCTTCCAATCCCTCATTCTTGACCCAAATAGTCGTTTGGAGATCCACCTTTGGGCTGTTTGGGCCATCCATCACATCCTCACCAAAAAGAGTAAGCTACTTCTCTGTCCTTTCTCTCTCTCTCTTGTTTGTGCCTTTTCGTGCACAGTCAATTTTAAATTGCTATGGGATCTATTATTTCTTACCGACTCTTTGTTGTTTGTTTTCCAGATGCTATTAATAACCTACTAGTTTTTGTCCCTTGGAGCACGCAGTTGTTTTGACTATGCCACTCGCCCAAGCTTCCTTTTCTCCTCCACTCTTAGAGCTTGTTTGGGCGTGCTACTTGAGGTTGGTGGCTTGGCTCACTTTCAATTCCTCTGCAGTATCGTGCCTAGTGGCATAAATTAGTTTACATTTGTTGGTCAACGCTTTGTTCCTCCGCCTTCCCCCCCCCCCCCCCCCCCCCCTCCTTTGTAACAGCTGTGGCGAATTGGAGCACGCTGCAGGGATCATGCTAATCAGCGACAAAATTGGTTAAATTCCTTAAACATAATTCCTCGGATAAGTGAAACCACTTTTCTTATTATGATTATGTTCATTGTTCTAGGTGAATTAGCTTATATAGGCTTATATTCCAGCAATATTTGTTAATTGGGTTAGTAAATTTAAGAACATCCGAGCTACCCCGTAATCTAATCTATTTTATTGCCACCAAAACGGGAGCTTTTTATCCTATAAATCTGCAATTCTATCATTTATCTTCAATTTCGAAGTGACGCTCTCCTTTAGAAGATTCACTGTTTCTTCTAAATGTGCGATTTTATTTTTATTTTTAAAAATGCCAACTAATTTATACTTCTTAATAGCTACCCTTGCTTGTGAGGTTTGAAGTAAGAATTTCAGCAAATTCCTTCCCTTTTATCTGATGTCCGCACTTTTTATTATGCGATTTTGAAGTGCTGTTTTTACCATCGTCATTTTCATAATCCCCCCCCACCCCCCACCCTGAGGTACTTTTACGCTTGACATAAAAGTTCGCCTGTACTTTTTTCCGAATTGTTCCTTGGTTCTTTAGACTCTCGCTACGTGCCAATCCTTCGTGAGTGCCTCAGCCTCCAGCGTTTCCTTCTCTATGTCGTGTCCACCGATGTGGCAACCTTATGCGCGTCGTCAGCTCCTATGCAATTCCCTCATCAGAACTTCCCCATCAACGCTGTGGCGGCGGGCGATTCGGAAAGTGATGTCCTCCACTGTGGTCCTGTCATAGTGCCAGAATCCTGGCGAAAGCTTTGCCCCTCTTACTATAACTTTGTGAGTTTGCATTCATTCATCCACTGATCATATGTAGTCAAACCTTTAGTGTATTTGTTATTCATGATTAGGTGGAAGTGGTAGGCTTTACGGTCACTTTTAGCTTAACTGAAGGTATGCATCGGTGCTTCATCACTATTTTGAGCTTTGATGAATAACAATCATGGACATTCTTCGAAATTAGTGTTAGTTAGTGTTAGTTAATTAACTTTTTCTCAAAGTTCAGTTGGGAAGTTATTATTTCTCTCAACTATTGAAGAAAAATTAACAGTGCTTGACTTGATCTAATGAACTTATTATGGATTCACTCTTATGAGATATAGGCATTCTGCCACCCCTCTTTTGCCAACATAGTTTAGTTCTTAATTGGCGGCTATTCAAGTCACCGGATATAATGGCCTCTAATTTGACAGACAAGCATTTCAAAGATTGATGTTAATATGAGGTCTTGATAATAGTAGGCAAAGCACATTGTTTTAGCCATATTTGAATTGGGCGTGACGGGGCTTTGCTGGGTAAAGCCACTTAATTCATTTTCACTACGGGCATGGTGATACATAGATTGTATATGATCTAGTGGGTTCCTGATGTAGAGTCAATGTGTTGATAAGGTCTAGTCTAGGTAATCTAATAATAAGCAAGGCCCCCTAACCCAGCGATATGAAAAACCTTAGTAGGTTTCCACAAGAAGTCAGGCGAAGTTTTGATTAAAATTTGGATTATTATATTTCAAAAAGTCATTTCAAACACTTCATTTTCAACTATTAGTGGTAGACACCTTGTAACTAGCCACTCCATTCTGTTATCGATTATTTTTAAACAACCAAAATACATTGTTAGTGTTTATTTGCTTTGGTGTTCCAAGCCATACAATATGTCATTACGCGTCCCACACTTCCACCAAAGTGTTGTAATTCATTTAAAGGAAGTCCAACTTAGCACCCTATACCCGCATTGATAACGCACATTTAGCAGTAGTATTTGTGTAAAATTAATATAATGTTTCATTAATTAGGGAACGAAGGGGTTTAGTCTGAACCTTCGATATAAATTTAACGGTTTCACTAGAGCTCCACGTATGTATTTCCTTGATCTGTCAAATTTTCATTAACCTTTTAAGAAAATTATAACATCACTTGACTTGTGTAGAGGTAATTTCTTCAGAAGTCGCTCTTATAGGAAGCTTTTATTATACTATCCATCTTGTTAACTTGAAGTGATCAGGGGGGGAGTGGTCTCAATCGCTTACAGCACCGGAAGTGCGCCGATCGGCCCCTAACTAAGCAGATGTTCGCATTGATTATCGAGCCACTATATTTCGTTACCTGTATACCTGTTTCTCTCGCTCGCTATATATTTAGGGTAGACTTTATGATAGTCATCATTAGCCCTTTAGTTGACTTCGGGCTTCACAGAAGGGGGAGGATAGATAGGGGGAATAGAAGAGTGGTTTATAGACGTAAGTCAGACACAAAGGTAAGGAAAAAGAAAGGTGAGTACTGTGGAAGTGGTCGCATATAACGTCCAGTCTGGTCATGGTAGTTTGAAGCCACCTGTCGGTTTGCAGACTTTTTTTGCCGTATGAATAAATGTTGCCCAAGTTGCGCCACGTGGAGGTAAGTCTATCACGCACCCCGTGCGTTAATATAGATTCGAATGGATTTGTCTCACTGCTTATTTATGCAGGAATGAAGCTGATGTGCTTTATCTCTACGACGGTTGACTAATTATACAATCTGTAGAGCACCAACGGTGTTCTCATTTAATGATAGCCAAAGTTAGCCCATTAATGAAAGTTCCGTCCAGAGTACATCCATCGAGATGCTAATCTAAGTGCGTTCGTACATTGATAAGGCTTTAATCTACTTGGAGTCTACCTGGCTAAAGGGTATCATTGCTCACTGCCGTAAAAACATCAAACTTTAGTTTTGACCCACATTTGTCAATAATCTTCCAGGAGGACTTTACTAACTCACTCTAATTTAGACCATTTCTTTTTAAAATGATAATAACTGCCTTGTTTCGGGTTCGATTGCACTTGTGGAACAAAAGCAAGGCAAATTGATAGTTTTCACAAAAGGCGTAAGCTAATATTCTATAAGTTCGGATTCATCGACGAGTTGCTATTTGTCTTTTTCTCATGATTTTCCTATTAAGAGCTTAGTTGTACATGAATGCGCGATTTGAAGTGCAACTCAGTATGCTCGCAGTGGTTTCCGAATTCGAAATGATTTTCGTCTTCTGTCTTAATTTAAGTCACCTATATGTGTTCTCTAAAATTCTCTTTTGCTAATTTACTTCAGGTCAAACTGCACGCCGATCTAATTCATTGTGATGTATCTACTTACTTGATCATCTCTTAACCTTGACTAAAATGAGCCTTTCAGTTCAGCAACATAGTGACTTATTACTGCGGTGTTCCGAGTTAGTGCCAGTAAACTAATTATTGTGGTATAAGTAGAAACAGATTTTAAATGACTAGAGGATATTTTTCTAATTTCTGTCACAGTTTCGTGCCAGTATTCAGAAAAAAGGGTCCCCGGTCTACTATCCGCATCAGTCAGCAACTCTTCCCTTCGTTGCTCCTAGCGACTCAGTAGCTCGACTACCTGCGTTCGATGAGGGACAGTCAATGGGCCAGTCTCCCATGTCAAGCAACCCATTTCTCACGACTATTATCCCTTCACCAATGGAGGAGACAATTTCCCTTGGTCCTACGGAGTCACAACTAACGTGTGCCCGCCTACTTCAACGTCTCGCGGTGGAGATTATTGAGGCTGTGTTAGTTTTTGAGGCTGAAAATCGCACCACTGCTCTTATCTCTGCCCCCACCTAGATTTTATTACGCCAATTCTTTTACTTTGGTCTCTTCACTCCACCCTATCTGTCTTACCTACTATTACTGTGTCCCCGTGCCCCTAATTTCTTATCTCGTCGCTGCATCTGTCTGTGATATCACTCACTCCTAGTACGCGGTGGTACTCCCATTGCTATTCCTTCCCCCCTCTCTCTATATATCTCCCACCCACTCGTACCCCTCCTGTCATGCGGATCAGCCGAGATAGAGATTACTAATAATTAACTTGACTGCGTATCTTTGTTCTCACTTTGTTCTTTCGCTTGATTACCTGTCTGTATTTTTTCTTGACTTTGTTTATATTTTATAAGCTTTTGAGAAGGGACAGCTAAGGGCTATCAGATTGGTAGTAGATGAAGTCTTTTAGTTGCGGACCCAGGAGAGAAATTCTCATTTTTGTGAAATGCCATTCGTTATATCTGCAGTAGTCACTTAAATCAAATGATTCGGGTCTCGTTCTAGATTTAAGACATGTTGTATACGCTGAAATTTCGGAGTTGTCAGCTAAAGATACGTAGATGGAACAAGACCCCGAGAATGCCCCATTCTTTGCACTAATGCATTGGGCTGTGTTCTGTTCTTTTCTGGGACGATGGTTTTTGCGCAATCCATTATTCGCGATAAACAGTTGGTTTATATGAATATCCCCTTTAGCAGTAGGAAGCTCTAATCGTGAGCTTGAAATCCGAGTTAGTACTTCACGCATGTTTTGCCATGCATTGCAATAGAAATGAGTCTACTTCATTGCTTCTCTGTTGGATTATTTTATTTATTTGTTTGATGTGCTTTCTTGGCTTCCTGTGCAACACGAAAATCATGTAGCATTTATGTGGTTCTTAGTTAAGACCTCGCTTGATAACTCTTTGCTTAGGTCTTAGTTTGTTTTGTGCCGTAACTGTAGGTTAAAAAACTATATAAAATACCATCTACCTCCAAGTTAATACAATTGTGCACAGATTTCAGTACTTTTTTTATAGAAAGCATGACGCCGTATTTTAAGGGACAGAATCTTAACAATTGTGAAGATTTTCTTATGCTTCTAGTTAATAGTCGACAATCTCTCTATTTTTGACACGCGCAAAAGGTTGAATCTCGAGCACTCGCTCTAATTTTAAAAGACATAAGAATATTGATAATCCTATGATTGCATGCTGATCAAGCGTCGTCGAGTTCCCCTATTTTAATTTAATTTGGTTCATCTGTAACTACCAGGATACTGCACGGTTGTTAAATAGTAGCTACTTATTAATATCTAAGTAATACGATCTTATGCCCTTGTAGGCTCGTCGACTCTTGAGTACATCTGGAACCCTATTACGAGGTATCGAAAATTTCCTAGTACTTGATTTTGAGGCCACCTGTAATGAGATCAGCAAAATTCAGCCACAAGAGATCATTGAATTTCCTGTCTTGTTGCTTAGAGGTCAAGGACTACCTGAAATCGATCGGTTTCATAGATTTGTTAAACCTGTCTATCATCCCCAGCTCACTGATTTCTGCACTCGCGTAAGATATTTTTGCTGTATTATTTTGCTCGTGAATTACATTCCAAAACTTAGTTTTAAATTGCCTAAAGAGTATTAAAGTGAGTTTGTGTCTCGCAGTTAGTTTTGAATGTCGTTCAATTTAGCTCAATTTCAACCGCCACAGTAAGACCTCCTATAAAACTCAAGTGCAACTCCTATATGTCTATTTATACCAAATATTTTGACCCTTCCTGATTTATAGGCCAAAGGTTGGAGGCATTGTATTTGTTGCATCTTACTTATTTGACATATTATCTTTACACGTTGCAGTTATACGAGTCATTTATTATGATGGCTGACTGGTAGTGATCATTCAGACTGTAAAGCTACTTTAAATGTCTGACGGTGTCAGTCCTAGAGTATCCTCCAAAAGACTAGCAGGATATAACAACCAGAACTAAATGAATGTAGACCTAACGTTATGTAGTGTCACGCTAATAGTGGACATCTGGTAGTGAATGCTGTGGAAAAAGAGGTATTGAGAGGAAAGGGAAGTCGAGGGCAAACAGAGTCAGTTCTGATAAAGTAGAATCCGGATTATGTTAAAGAGGCGATCTATTAGAGTATCGTACAACAATGTCATCCCACTGACTTTCAATATAGCAAGAGTAAAATGTATCCGTTTACTGATCCCTGTGGCCTATCAACAGGATGTTGGTTGATGTTTTAAGATAAAACAGATTCTGCAACATTGATTTATATTTGCTACAGTATCATTCTATTGCTCATTAAGATCAATTATCGGATCAAATAAACTATTCCTAAAAGCCTTACCTCGCAGAAATTAAAGCAGGCAACTCGATAAAGTATCCAAGGTAGCAGATAATTTGTATTTTGGGTTTCCTGTGTGGAGAACAACAGGGTTATCTGTGAAGTCAGCATTAACGCGAACATAGTGAGTGGAATTTCTAACCGGATTAGTAAAGTCATGGTTTTTCGCCATGGAGACTTCATGATACTGCAACCGTTCTTGATGAGTTTTGAAAAATTCTTCTTAAATGAGCTGGGGATATATATATATATATTGTATATTTTTATTTATTTTGGCTGTTTTTATTTATGCTTTGCACTGATTTTCAGCTGACGGGAATAATTCAAGATATGGTGGATTTCCAACCAACCTTTCCCGATGTTATGAAGGTGAGTGCTCCAATTGTGTTTTCTAATAACTTGATTGGTATAACCTTCCATTTCTTTTAAGGAATTTGAATCCTGGATTGATAGCCATTTTCCAACTGAAGAACAGAAGTCGAAATTCGCTTTTGTCACCTGTGGTAGCTGGGATTTACGCTATATGTGAGTCAATATAGACATTTTCCCTCTAGAGCTAATAATCGTTTTTTCTGGTTGAGTTTCCTTAGAATTAGCCAACCTTTCAATTCTATTAACCTATGTGTACACTAATCATTCGTTAAATGATTCTTCTCTTTAACTGATGAGCGCTTAGTAGAGGTTAACTGATGTCTGCACTATTTCTAATTCTTAATACAGCAATAAAACGAAGAGAACAGGGTTGAAAAGGTAGAATTTTTGAAGAGTGCTAGAAGACTGATTGTCTGGAAGTGGTGCTAGATTTAGAAATTATGGTATCATGCTTCGTAAGTACTGTGCGTGTTATTTTTGGGCATAACTGGACGATAGGAGAGAATCGGGAACTCCGCTGATCCTAGAACACTGGCTGGGCATTTAAAATGCATTTAATGTAACGAAATGCACCATTAGCATTAAAGGCTAATATCAAACGGATAAGACTCAAGCTAGTGGAAATTCTTAAATGAACAAATTGCATTTTAAATGGTAAAAATGTAAAATGTAAGGAGAATTGACGTCTTTTCATGATTGTGCACATCGAATTGAGTTTAGAAATAGCAGTTAATATCATGGTAACTTTGGAGCAAAGTACTTGAAATTCTCAATAAGTTATCGTTCTAGTTTTCTTTTCTCATAAAATTCGTGGAATCGGAATATTTGAACGGCAAATGGTTTTACCGTTATTTGGACTTTCGTGATGCTCTCTTTATTCATTGTTTCCGATTTAAGTGTACTCATTCAGTTATTGCTTTAGGTTGCCACACCAGGCCTCTTTATGGAATATCACCGTTCCTCCCTATTGTCGACGCTGGGTTGACGTTAAGAAGGTCAGGCGTTCATCGATAGTTTCATTTATTTCAATTTCATACTTATCATGACTTGGACGATTATCACGAGCTCACAATTTCGATTACTTAACTTTTTTTCTTAACTGCAGGAGTATGCGGACTTCACGGGCCAACATCCCACTGGTCTAATTTCAATACTAAAGAACTTGAATTTACCGCATGATGGACGTCTACATAGTGGCATTGGTTAGCATATCTTGTTAATTTGATTAGTTGCCATTTTTTAGATGATTGTCGAAATATTGCAAAAGTGTTGCGTTTCCTTGTCCAAGAAAATGTCAATCTCAGATATTCTGAGTAATATCTGCCCTGTACAAAGTGTAGAAAATGTGAAGTGAAGAAAATTATTGTCGAATAACTTTTTTTAAAATTGAATATAATTTGGAGCACGTCATCATAATGCTCTAGATTTATTGATAAGTTTATTAAAAAATGATTTGCAATAAAAGCTCTCTTCACTTGAACTTTTAAATATATGTTAATTAATAAACTGCTAATAAGTATATATACAAAAAAATCGATAATTGCCGCCAATCCGAAAACTCCTTAATGGGCACTTGAATGCCTATTGTGTTGGCTTTAATTCAGCATTACATAATACAACTTTCCTGCAAATTTGTATATTTCAGTAAATAGGCTAATGTTATGAATAATTAATTAATGCGAAATTTTTTATTTATTTTCAAAACACTGCGGAGAGTTGTTTATCCGCACGTTAGAGCTTTGGATCCACTCTGAATTTTTCCAAAGGTCTTCTGAATTTTCCGAATTAACGATCGGCCAGCGATTGCATCAGTTCCCTGGCGTTTTAAGTTTCCAGGGCAGAAGGTCACCACTTATGTACAAATAAAAAATCCACTTTTTTGGTTTGACAGTTAAAGCTGAGAACTCGAAAATGGAGGTTTTATGCGTTGGTTCAATCTGATGTGTACACGAACTTAAAATGAGCTGATTTCAAGGTTATAAACCTCAACTGACGCCTGGTGTATACAGAATTGTATAAGACAGTAGAGCACAATTTCAGGTGCAGTTTTACCTCTTGCTTCAAACGAATTATAGCTGAATTGTGAAAAATATAGCCCTGAAACTCTGCAAGTACCCCGAAAGTGTTAAGGACCAAACTTCAGAGGAGGAAGCATGCCTTAAGAGCACAATCAATTTTTGTCAATTTAAAAATTAAACAGTTGAAGTCAGAACACCTCGATATTTGGTTTGACACATGACAATATTTAATGAAGTTAATTTTATTTTTTTAGCGAGATCGCTTAGTCCATTTTTCAATACAATTCTCCGATTGAATCACGCTGAGAGCATGTTCAAAGTGGAATTGAACAATTTTCGTACAATTTATGTTGGTATTCACTCACAATTCGAAGAATAGCTTTAAGATTTATTGTACTGGTATTCAGGCCTTTATTCAACATGGCATATTCAGTGGAAAGCACTTAATACACCAGCAATTTAATATCAAAATGCTTTAAGATTAAATTTTAGCATGAAGCTATTTCGTGATAGATTTGCCCATTAATACAGTTTTCGCGTACAAATTTTGGCTAACCAATGAAATGTAAGTAGTATTTTTAGGATTTCCTCACGTATTTAATACAATTGGTAAAATGGTAGTTAATCACATGAAATCTCGAGGCACGATATATTTGGCCTTCACCTCACAAAAATTGAGCATTTTCACTTGGACCAAGAGAAGAACTGCTCTAATATTTATGTGTGAACATGGGTTAATTGAAGTGAACAGCTTAATCTATTTTTTCAGCACTTGATGTTGTCAGAGTAAAACCTTGGCGTACTCAACATATTTCGTCAGTTTGGGCTAATTTGTCTAAAGGCGATAGATTTAAGAGACAGGTTTGAAGATAGCGATAAGTTGCTTTAACAAAACTCACTCGAATGCCTCATTGAGTAGGAGGTTGCAGATGTGTCATGGCCAGGAAACAAGATAACTGCGATAACCACAATCAAACAATTTAAAAAACATCGATCTCTTTACTTGAGTGACAAGAAATGTGATTATGATTGTCTTCAAACTGTTATGCATTAATCTTACTGGCTTAAAACTCAAATCGTCTCCGAAACGCAAATGAAGTTTTAGGGTATTTTAAGGATCATAAAGAAACTATTATGTAATCTTATAATGAATCATTTGAATATTCTATATGAAAAAGCATTGACGAATATCATCGTTGAATAACGTCAAATTGTTGACAGGAAAAAAGCTCTGAGAATACTTGCCGAACAACTACAGAAGTGTTGGCATAATCTCTGGGCTAGCTAGCACAAAATTTAAAAGTTTATTGATCTCTCAGTTACTAAGATTATGAAGATCTAAAGCTTCTCATACAACGGTTTTGCTTAAGCAACACACTGAAGATATAAAACAGAGTTCGGTGAAAAATATCGTGCGAATTCACTATCGAATGGCTGTAAGAAATCTCCCTCACTAGAACATTAACCACAGGAAGGTAGTCTTCATGGACGATCGATTTTAGCAACTACTTGGCTGCAAGACAGCCACTAAAACGCAGACTTTCCACATACCGGTAGAACTTCATGCCCAGTGTATGACCGCTACATGAGCTATTGAAAAAGAGGAAGACTACGAAGTCGTTTGACTTTCCTTATTGAGAAAATTAGGAGTAGCTTAAAACATTGTGGAAATTAAAGGGGCCGAAAATCTGCCAATTTCAGAACTTGGATGACATAATATTTTGATACCCGTGTTACCTCCCAAAGGCTTCCTAACAATGCTTCAATCGATTCCAACACCCCTCTCTTTAGACACCCTTCATGGCAAGAAATTGTGATCTATGAGCAATAGTTAAAAAGTCTTTGTCATTTAACCGAAACAATTCAATTTAAATAGAAAATCTGATTAAGATCAGCCTTTTGTCATAGCATTACTCCTGTCTAAAAAGAGTGTTAGCATTCGTTACAGCAGTACTTTTAGCTAAATTTTATAATTCAGACGTCCTTGGTGCTCTTATTCACCCTTATCTCATTGACAATGAAACGTTTTAATTAAATAATTTAAATGACGTTCACGGCCTTAATACTTTCAATATAATGACATTGAAAATTCGATAATGACATCCGCCATTAAATGGCTTAAAATAATTAAAATTCACCTCAAACCTGCAATGACATTAATTTCCTGCTCAATGTTTGACTACTATAACAGCCGAAATAAAGTCACTACTGGGCTTCATTGAGTAGAGTATATCCTCCCAAAATGTCCTGCTTCTTGATCTTCAAATTTGCTGCCATTTAATGACCAGACAAATTAAATCATCGCTTGCAAAATTTAATTTTGTGTTAGATAACTTTTCCAGGATCTTTTTGAATATGAAAAAATTTATTCTCTTCTGTTGTGAATTTGATTAATGCTCGTCTGGTTATCGTTGACAGTGGAGAGGCTTCGCACCCACCAACTCTGACTACAGATTTCCGCTTTAACGTAACGTCAGCAGAGCTCAACTTTAGTAGATGCAAAATCCTTAATCTGTCATTAGAAGGCTGCAATTTGCTAATTTTAGCTTGTGAACAACATGAAGTTGAATTAGAGTATTTATCTGAGTAAAGCGAAATCTCTTCCACTCCCGGGTATTTCATTCTAAGTAAACTGGCTGATATCAACTCTCGCCTAGAGTAGAATCATGGATTCTAGAATGTGATAATCTCAGTCTCTACCACCGCCTCTATATTGGTTAGATCTAATCATCACCGAACATATGACTCCAACTTAGCCACCCCTCCCCCTTCGCCTACGTGCTCTCTATAATTTTTGGATGCTGTCATGCGAAACGCAATGCCGATTCGCAAGGTATGTTGCTGTTCAAATAACCCACTTAGCGTTTCTCGCCATTTTGCTCTCAATTAGGCCATTATGTGGTAATAGGAGGAAAGCCATAATACATCAAAATGTTGTGAGAGACTCCACACTTACCAGTTAATGTGATTTTGAAACGCTTTCTTGGGGTAAAATAGGCCCAAATTTCTTAAGGCTATAACAATTTAATGTTTAAGTTGAAAACATACTCCACATTTGACTATGAAGCCATAGTGTGTATACCAAAGGACACCTTTTCCAAGCATTATTTGTTGTAGATATTGGCACTGGAGACTAAAGTTAAAAAGAGCTGCACTTCATTTATGGTTTATTGATGGCTAAGATTTTAAGTAAATTATGTATTTTATTGAAATATTTTATAAAATCAACATATTAAGAAGCAACTATAAGGTGCTGAGATGTGTTTGCTGATACGAATACATATCTGTTTGAATAGTGGATTTATTTTGGGTTAATTTTCAAATGACTAAAAGAATTCGTCAACAAATTCAATGTGCAAGCGTCTGAACCAAACGGGTCCCCGGGCAGTCCCTGGAATGGTCAGGTCTGCTTATTAAATGATGTGGTGAAATTCTAATTTCTCACCAAGGGGGGTTCATGATAGTACCTTCAACACAAAGTGAACATTGGGAAATTTTCACTAATTATACTGCGAGTTACTGAATGCACACCCCCTAGTCGTGCCTTTCGAGTGCTCCGTTGTTAATCATCTTCACTTCTGATATCTGCGGAAACATTAACTAGTATCAATAATAATAATAAGAGTATATCAATCCTATCCTTTGGGACAATTTCGGTGCCATGAAGAATGAAGGCAGATTGATTATATCTCAAAGGAAGCCCTTACATTTACCTTTCACTTAGAAATTTAAAGTTTTTCGTTTACATGTATGTATGTTTGGGCTATATAGCAAATTCGCTAAGTGAGACATTGGAGGCCGATAGCATAGAAGAGCAATAATCGATAAATCTTATTCGCAGTGCGTGGCTTCTGGTCTATAATTTTCATGTTATTAAAAAATCGATAGCACTCAAGCATGCCTCAAAATGAAAGTGATTGTAAATAAAAGCTGTGATAGGTATTCTCTCAAATTACATTACTCTAGGTGGAAATTCCCAAGATATTCTCTAGTATGCACTATTACATTGTCGCTTACTTCAATTCTCCCAAAATTAGATAACCTGTAAATGTACTTAAGTGTTGCCTATAATGCTTGAAAATGGGTGAAACGAAACCGCATAGAATATGGGCGGTCCATATTTGTGATTTGGGAATTACCGAAAGTTCCAGCCTCTTGGGAATCTAGTGAAAAGTGAAGTCTGACTTAAACTATGGTGTGCGACCGAACAAACGGTCGTTTTGGCAACGACTGGAGATTCAGAAAGCACAAATCTGCGAACTATTGAATAAATAGTGTGAATTTTAAGGAACTCTCAGG